GCGGACCCCAGCCTCAGCCCTGCGCTCCCTGCACGTGGGCTCAACCTCGGCATCCACCCCAGCCCGTCCGGTTCACGTTCCCCAGGTTAGGCCTGTACTGGGAGTGGAAGGAACTGTTCTTCCCACATAAGGAAGAGAATTTTTGTAGAAATGATTAAGCCCTTTTACAAATAAGGGTTTTACGTGCTGTTATCTCAGAGCCTGACTCATGCATTGATTTATTGTGTGACTAAGTAAGTCAGTTTTCCGCACTTAAGTTTTTAAAGCAGGGAGCGGATCAGCTGTGCTTGGGAATCCATTTGTGTTATAAACTGAGGCGCGTTGGAAAGGAACATGAGGTTAAGAGACAGTTTGGGGGGGGGGGGTTGCACTGGAGGGATTATAGCATCGCTGTGTACTTTGAGGTGAATGATTAAATGATTCAGAGAAGAAAGGAGAGAATGTCTAGGAAACTGATATGTGAAATGATTGATGAGAAGGGGTGGGATTCAGAGCCCAGGTGAGATGTGAGAAGTAGAGTAGTTTTTTAGGATGAGCAGGTCAAGGGTAAGATGATTAGGGCAGGGAGCAGGGAACTGAGACTAGGTGCTTCATGGATGTTGGCTTACAGGGTGGTAACAAGAGGAGGGGTGGAAGGAGAGAGGGATCAGGTGATGGAAAGAATGAAGACACTCCCTGGTCTTTGATTGGACTTGGTGGCATTATAAAGAGTCTTTGGTAGATGCTAGGGAAGCTATTCAGCAATACATCTACAAAACCTCTCTTAGGGTCCTTTCTTTTTGGAGATGGTTTATTGTTGATTTCACATTTTTCCAATTCTGACTTTATCCTCCAGTGTTGGGGTTGTCCCCTGTGAGCCCTCTCCTCCCCTACATAACAATCTATATATATAAAAGCCTAAGCAACAAGCTGACCATTTGACTGTTCGACCTGTAGCTATGACATGCACTGACCACCAGGGGGCAGATGCTCAATGCACAGGCTTGGAAACATGGAACAGACTGATGAATCTCAGAGGGAAAGGGGGAAGAAGGAGGGTGGGAAGAGATCAACCAAAGATCTTATATGCATTGTAGAGGCTTGGTGCATGGATTTATGCACTGGTGGGATCCCTCGGGCTGGCCTGTGGGGATTGGGCCGAAACTGGCAGTCCAACATCCCCTGAGGGTTCCTGGATTGCAAGAGGACTCTAGTTGGTTAATAAAATTATACAGGTTTCAAGTATACAGTTTTACAATACATCTGTATATTGTATTGTGTGTTTATAATCCCAAGTCAAGTCTCCTTTCATCACCATTTATCTCCCCTTTACCTTCTACCTCCCCCCACTTCCCCTTTTCCTTTGGCAATCACCATGCCATTGTCTGTGTCCATGAGTTTTTCTTTGCTTAATCCCTTCACCCTTCTCACCCAGTCCCCATTCCTCTCCCCTCTGACGGCTGTCAGTCTGTTCTCTATATTCAGGAGTCTGTCTCCACTTTGTGAATTTATTTTGTTAATTAGATTCCACATCTAAGATTCCACATATAAGTGAGATCATATGGTATTTGTCTTTCTCTGACTGGCTTATTTCACTTAGCATAATACTCTCCAGGTCCATCCATGCTGTCACAAAAGGCAAAATTGCTTTCTTTCTTTTTTTTTTACTGGCCCAGTAATATTCCATTGTGTAAATGTACCACAGCTTTTTTTCATCCAGTCATCTACTGATGGACACTTGGGCTACTTCCATATCTTTGCTATTGTAAATAACGCTGCAGTGAACATAGGGGTGCATATATTCTTTTGAATTAGGGTTTTGGGATGTGCTGCATTTTAAAGTTTTGTTTTGGCAGCCTGGCATCTGCACGGGGTTCTGCAGACAACAATTTTATCTCTGTACGGAGCATTTGGGCTTCCCCCTGTCTAATCTTGTATAAACATTTTACAAACAACGTCCCCTGGGAAGTCCTTGGCCACCATCCAGCCTCCTAGAGCCAGATACTACATTGCTGACTTCGGGGTGGTCCTCCGGAATTGTTATTTGTTGGGACCAGGGATATTTTTAAGCGTGTGAAAACACTTGTAGAGCGAGGAGAAAGCAGCATCTTAGCACTACAGCTTTATAAAACACTGAAGCAAAGTTCCCGTGTTCAGAATGGCAGAATGAGAAAGGCTCAAGGCTGTTGTTCCAAGTTTTTAGAGTTAAAAGGTTTACCAAATGAGGTTTGCTTTTTCTTCATCCTCTTTAAATGCCCCCAGTCATGCTTGCTTGCTTGCTTTCAGTATTGCCAAATGAGAGAAGCCTCCTGAGTGCTGCTAAAAGCAATAATTTGGATCTTATGGAGAAGCTGTTTGAAAAGAAGGTTAACATTAATGCTGTGAACAATGTGAGAATTCACTAATGTGACAATGACTACTCTCAGGGTGGCTTGGTTTTACACAGGTCAACTGAAATATAATAAAAATAAAAATGGTTGTGCTGGATGAAATAAGGGAGATCTCTGTTGTTGGTAATTCCAGAGTGTTTATGCTAAAGGTGAAATCAGCACTGGAATAGGCTCTGGGAGTTCCAATTTATCTTAAAGAGGGAAGTGCACGTGGTCTTCATGCACATCTGTGCAAAGTCTGTGGGTGGGCAGTAAAGCCAACTGTCGAGGTTATGGGCCTGGGCTTGGTCCTCGATGATAGCCCGTGGATGACTTTGGCCTCACACATTCTGGAAAGGCAGAACTTTTTTTGCTACATCTCTGGGTTGTTTTCTCCCCAGTTATGTCCTGTGTGTTCGGTTCTTCCACATTTAAAATCTAAAGGCAGCATGGGTTTTCATTCTACTGCTTTTGAAATATAGTACATGTTGGGCAATGGAGCCCTTTCTGAAACCTGGCTCTTAGTTGTTCTTTGAGTGGTTGGGTTTGGGGGAGAAGCCCACTGCCAGAATAGAAACTTCCTACTGCTTGGTTTTGTGGGGATTCCCTGATAGCCCCTCAAAGTAGGGTTTGTTAAAGTGAACTGGTTGGGGGCTGTGTCAATTGCTTAGGACAATTTGTGGAGTGGTGCAAGGTAGGGATGTCGGAGGTGAATTTAATGTTAAATGAAACAGAAGTTCCAAGGCATTCAGAGGGTTCTAGCAAATGTTCCCATGGCAATATGATTTTGTAAAATATAAAGAAGTGAGAAATTTTAACTACCATCGGTTAAGTTTTCTGACTCTGGCGTCAGATGGGGCTCCCTAAAGAGTGTAAACTTCAGGTTCCACAAAACCTGGATCTGCCCCAGGCAGTGAGGTCATAGAAACTGAAGTCTTGCATCATATGCAAGGGAAGGATATTTAGCAGTTATTCACGTGTGTATGTGAGGGGATATGTGTTTATGTGTATATTATGTACATGTGTGGGGTCTGATGTGTTACAGGTGTATATATATATTCATTGTCTATATACCTCCTAGAAGAGCAAAAGTTTGCAGCATAACAATTTTAGTAACAACAAAAAAAAGAAAGTAAAAAGGAAAGGAATGAAGGAAAAAAGGAGAGAGAAAAAAAAAACAAGGATCTTTGAAACTGTTTAGGTTAATTGTTGAATAAGTAAAGCAGTAAGAATTTTTACTGTAATCATTTTTCCAAGTAGCAGGAAATAGATTCTTCAATATAATTTTATAACCATTTCAGTTTTTTTACATATAACTTCCTGATATTTTAAACCATATTTTTATATTAAACTATTTGGAGAAATACTCCTGGTGAATTGTATTATTCCTTATAATGACATCTCTATTAGGCCTGTTTATGGTAAATTGTTGACATGGTTACTTGTGATGTTCCTTAAAATCTGGGATGATAGAGATGAAAAACTGTAGGTGGTTTTATTGAATTATCTTGGATGTTGTTTTGACTTGCATTTTTATTCACAAATAAAGTTAAGGGGTTGTATAAGCCCAAATTTGACATAATTCAACATAGCTCTAGATTTTGGGCAATGTCAAGATAAGTAATGTTTTGTCTAACTTAGTTTATCACCAGTTTAGCTACCAAGGAAATCAGATGTTTAATTTAAACAGTGCTCATATTTTTGCAATAAATTTTTTTATATGAAACAAAGGATAGTAAATCAATGCCCAGGCACCTTCTTTGGAAGCAAAAACAGTCTAGAATATGGGAAATCTGAGACAAGTTTTATTTGCAAGCAAAGCATCCGTTGTTTGAAACACATTGAGCTGTCTCTGGGCATCTCAGGCACACCATGGTGGCTTTCCTTCGAAGCAAAAGATATTTATAGCTTTCTTTGTTTTTATTCTCACCCGAGGATATTTTTCCCGTTGATTTTTATAGAGAGTGAGAAGGAGAGAGGGAGACAGAGAAAAACACCAATATGAGAGAGACACATCGATTGGTTGCCTCCGGAATGCCCCCCAGCGCCTGCAACCGAGATTCGTGCCCTTGACCAGAATCGAACCCATAATCCTTTGGTCTATAGGCCAACACTCTATCCACTGAGCCAAGCCAGCTAGGACCATAGCTTCCTTTCTCTGTGCCTATTTCTTTCTTCTCCCTTCCCCATTCCCTCCCTTTCAGAAGAATTTGTTTGCTTCAGGAAATTTACAGTCTAAAAAATCACAGAAGAAAGAACACATATGTATATATTGAAAATCTAGGAAAATTTTTTGTTATACATTATCAATATATTCTAACCAGGAAACATTTACCATTTTTAATGATTGCATATGGGGAAAATACAACTTCTACTCTAATTTGAAATTCATTCTATTGTTACAAGCAATGATAAGTTATGCAATGGATTTCAGCGTGGGGCATATCCTCCAGTGGACTGCCGAATTCTCTGGTATTTCTGATAATAGATGAAGGCAAGAGTATGCTAGATACAATTCTCACTACTTTCAAAGACAGAAATGAGTAGATAAGTAATAAAAGTACAAGCCCCTGATAGAAAATTATGGTCATTCTAGAAACAGGAATCTTAAAACGGCTAAATAAAAATCGGATTACTGAAAACACAATTATGTTTCCTCAGATGAACCGCACAGCCCTGCATTTTGCAGTGGGAGCAAATCATTTATCTGCGGTGGATTTCTTGCTTAATCGCAAGGCCAGGGTGGATGTTGCTGATAAGGTAAGCTCATCTTCCTTTGGTAGAATGAACTGGAGCAGAACGAATGTGTGGGGAAATCTGGTCACTTCAGTTATCTTTTCTTCACATATGCACAAAATGTTTCCATTGGCAGTACTCATTTTGGAAAGGTCTCTTTGAGAATATATGTATTATGTGCTCTGTATTTGGCGACTAAATTGCTTATCCATTGCCTTTAGGACTTAGGCTTTTATTTATTTTCCCATCTTCACATTATGGCTGGTAGCATGCATTTGTAAAAATAAAATGTTTGCTCAGAGTATAATTTGGGACATGGAAGATAGAAGCTAACTGGCCTCAGGGACATTAAATCTCGACTTTGCCCTGTGAACTCTGGTAAAGAAATAAGGGTTGTGCTCGCTTCGGCAGCACATATACTAAAATTGGAGCGATACAGAAAAGCTTAGCATGGCCCCTGAGCAAAGATGACACGCAAATTCATGAAGCATTCCATATAAAAAAGAAAGAAGGCTTAATAAACATATAGTATGTACTAGGTATCAGTCTTAGGATTTGAATATTTAGTCCCTCAAACTTGTAGGAAAAGTAATACTATAATAATCAATTTACAGATGTGGAGTCTGAGAAAGATTAAATAGCTTGCCCCCCAAAATTACATCTAAGAAGGGGTGGAGGCAGGATTTGGACCTGGCTTAACTGATTCCAGAGACCATACCATTACCCACAAATCAGCCAATGTGTCTGCTCAGATATGAAAACCATCGTGAGGATTTTCCACCCACTTTTCCCAACTTTATCTAGTACTTTACTGTGGTACAAGGAGCCCATTTGGGCTGGAGAAATCCAACATCATGTTTATCATCTCCAGTTGCAAAAAGAAATGATAGTCTTGGTTTTTAGTTAATCCAGTGGACCATGGTTTTGAAGTTAAACTGTTCAGAAGATTCCCACAGAGCTAGTCTATTTTCTCTCTGAAATGACTCTTTGGAGGGTAAGGCTCAGCGTTGCTCTACCTTCATGTCTTACAGAACTTGGGTTTAGTATGTTCTTAGTAAGTCTTTGGAAGGTAAATGAATGAGGTCCGTTCAAATCAATTGATCATTTTGTTGGTTTTGTTGGCAATCATAGATGTGGTCTAGACAGATAATGATGAGAATTTCTCCTTGTTTCACCAGTAGGGTACATCCCTCTCTATTTTATTGCTCTGGTATTGTTGGGCAAGTGAATTGATCAGTAACAGAAGCAGAATGAAGAACGATACAGAGGGACACCAGAAGCACTCCAACATTGTGAGTGTAATAAGTTGTGTTATGGTAATGGTACTTAAGGAACATGTATTTTAGGTCTGGAAATTGTTGTTTATTTTTCAGTGTTAGTTAGCCTGCAAAAGATACTTTGGTCATAGACCTGATTGCGAAGAATCTATTCTTCTTTTGACATTGAAATCCTGGTACAATAACTTTTTTATTTTATTTTAATTCTTTTATAATTGATTTTTTAGAGAGGGGAAGAGAGACAGAGAGGCAGAGACAGAGACAGAGAGAATGAGAGAGAGAGAGAGGAGAGAGAGAAAAACACGGATTTGTTGTTCCACTTATTTATGCATTCATTATAATTCATTCTTGTATGTTCCCTGACCGGGTATTAAACCCACAACCTGGGACGATGCTGAACCAACTGACCTCCCTGGCCAGGGCCTTTACTTTAATTCTTATATTCATAGACCATACAATTAAGTTTGGGTGTGTGTGTGTGTTTTTTGGCATACAGTGCTATGAATTTTAACACATGTTCATAGATTCATGTAGCCACCACCCCAATCAAAATACTAAACGTTTGCATCATGCTGCTCTTTGTACTCAACACCCCCCTAACCCTGGCAACCACTTATTTCTTCTCCATCTCTATAGTTTTGCCTTTTTGAGAATGCCATGTAAATGATATTGTATAGTATATATAACCTTTGACACTGGCTTCTTTCACTCAGCAAAATGGCTCTGTTGTATGTGTCAATAATTCCGCCCTTTTATTGCTGAATAGTATTCCACCGTATGGCTGTAACACCGTTTGTTTATCCATTTACCAGTTGAAGGACATTAGAGTTGTTTACAATTTTTTACCATTCCTTGATTTATTTATTTTATTTTACATTATTTTATTTTATTGTTGACAGTATTACAGATGTCTCCCATTTTCTCCCTTTTTTGTCCCCCTCCACCCAACCCTTCCCCACCCTAGGTTTTCCATGCTATTGTCTGTGTCCATGGGTTATGCATATATGTTCTTTGGTTAATCTCTTCCTGACCCTTCCCCCGCAACCTCCCACCCCACTGAAGTCTGTTATTCTGTGTTTCCGGGGGAAGGGGAGGGGGTTGTTTGTGTTAGAAAATATTTTATTAATTTTAGAGAGGGAGAGAGATAGAAATATCAATGATGAGAGAGAATCATTCCCGTCCCATACTGGGGATCGAGCCCACAACCTGGGCATGTGCCCTGACCGGGAATCAAACCATGACCTCCTGGTTCATAGGTCAGTGCTCTACCACTGAGCCACACTGACTGGATGTCCAGTTTTTAATTGTTACAAATAAACCTTCTAAAAACATCCATGTATAGGCATTTATATAAGCACTAGAGGCCCAGTGCATGAAGTTTGTGCACTCGGGTGGGGGGGTGTCCCTCAGCCTGACCTGCGCCCTCTAACAGTCCGGGACCCCTCGGGGGATGTCTGGGAGCCCTTGCTCCTTACCACCCGCCTGCTTGCTGCTCCTTACCACTTGGCTCGCTGCTCCTTAGCACTGCCAGAGGCAGGAGAGGCTCCCGCCACTGCCGCTGCACTCGCCAGCCGTGAGCCCGGTTTCTGGCTGAGCAGTGCTCAGCATTGAGCGTCTGCCCGCTGGTGGTCAGTGCGCATCATAGCGACCAGCTATTCTGCCGTTTGGTTGATTTGCATATTAGCCTTTTATTATATAGGATAAGTTTTTATTTCTTAGGTGTAAATACCTAGGAGTGAGATTACTGGGTCATATAGTAAGTGATGTACAAGAAGCTTCCAGACAGTTTTCTAGAGTGGCTGTTCCATTTTCATTCCCACCAGCCATATAGCAGAGTTCCAATTGTTTCACATCTTTATCAGAACTTGGTATTGTCATTGCTTAATTTTAGCCATTCTGATAGGTTTGTATTGGCTTCTCATTGTGGTTTTAATTTGCATTTCTTTAATGGGAGGTTGTGTCTTTTCTTGTGTTATTTACCCTTCATATATCTTTTTTGGTGATGTATCTATTCAAATCTTTTGAATTTTTAAAAAAAAATTGGTTGTTTGTTTTCTTATTTTTGATTTTGAGAGTTATGTATTATAGATACAAATATTTAGTCAGACAGGTGATTTGCAAATATTTTCTCATATTCTGTAGCTTTTTCCTGTTTTTTCAGACCAAAAGTTTTAAATTTTGATGAAGTGCAATTTACTTATATATTTTTATATAGTTTTAAAAATTGATTTTAGAAAGAGAGGGAGAGGGAGAGAGAGATAGAAACATCAGCTGCCTCCTGCATGCCCCCTACTTGGGTATCAAACCAGTAACCTCTTGGTGCATGGGGCAACACTCAACCAACTGAGCCACAGCAGCCGGGATACTTATCCTATATAATAAAAGCCTAATATGCAAATTGACCAAAGGGTGGAACAACCAGTGGAACGACCAGTTGCTATGATGCGCACTGACCACCAGGGGGCAGATGCTCAATGCAGGAGCTGACCCCAGCCCGCAGGCCCCAGGCTGGCCAAGGCGGGTGCCAGCAGGGACCCTCCAATCCCCTTGCTGGTCGCTCTACAGATCAGTCCTGATCACTGGCCAGACCCTACCCATGTATGAATTTCATACACCAGGCCTCTTTGATCGCCCCACCAGTCACCCCACAGATTGGCCCTGATCACTGGCCAGGCCTAAGGACCCTACCCGGGCACGAATTTCTGGATCTGTTTCACCTGTACAACATTCAGGGGCCAGTCTGAGACTTGGACAGTGGTCTAGCTGTTCTCCAAGCTTTTGTCAAGCTGTTTAGGTTCAGGTCCATGTGCAGGTCAGGGTTGAGGCCAGGAATACATACACAACTTTATGGGATTGCTTTCTTGAGCTTCACTTTTCCAAGACCATCTCCCCTTATTTTCCAGCTTCAGGGCCCCTCTCCCCCTTTTCCTGGTCCTCTGACTAGAGAGCTAAGGGTGTGGTCTCCCAGCTCCACTATGTATTTCTCACAGTTGGGTCTGCCTCCGGGACTAAGAGAGGAAAAGAAGTAACATGAGTTCCCACTCCCACTCTTGCCCCCTCTCTGACCACAATTTTTCTGGTCAGAGAGAAGGATTCCCACTGTCAGAGTTTTAGGTGCTTTCCCAATCACTGCTGCTACCCCTCCTACCACAGGGTTACAGCTTTGGGAGTGAAACTTGCCTGGGGCAGGGCCAGAAGAGAAAAAAGAAACAGGATTTCCTTTCCCTTTTCTGTCCTATAGGGTCCCCCTTCCACTCCTTAGACCAGAGAGGGCTTCTCTTGGAGCTTTTTCTGTCCCCACCCAGGGTGTAGTTCCGTGATTTGCACTTCCATGAGTCTAAGTGGGAAGGTATGAAAGGAAAAAACAAACAAAAAAATCAGCAAACCCTAATTGTTTATAGTTTGGGTTCTGGTTTTCTTCCCCAATCTACCAGTTACCATTTACTTTTCAGATTTCTCAAATAGCTTCTCCATGCATTCTGTCCAGAGATTCTAGTCACATTTGGTGAGAGAGACAGGGTCCTGGTTACCCCATCTTAACCAGGACCGAAAACCCACATCTTTAATCCTATATAATAAAAGCCTAATATGCTAAGTGTCTGGTCATCTGGTTGGTTATTCAACCAATCAAGGTGTAATATGCTAATGGTATGCTAAGGCCACTCAACTGCTCGCTATGATGTGCACTGACCACCAGGGGGCAGACGCTCCAACTGGTAGGTTAGCTTGTTGCTGGGGTCCAGCCGATCCTGGGCTGGCCAACCTCTCACATCCCTCCCTGGACCTGATCATGCACCAGTGGGTCCCTCGGCCTAGCCTGCGCCCTCTCGCAATCTGGGCTGAGGGACTCCTCCCACTACCACCACCCAGTGCATGAACTTCATGCACTGGGCCTCTAGTGTGCTATAAAAGCAAATAGAATTGTACAATAAATACCTATGTATTCATTGCTTAGGTGGAATAGCATTTTTCTTTTAAACACCACGTTTCTAATATGTTAAATATACTACTGGTTTATGTCAGAGTATAAGTCAATTATTCACAAAATAGTTTACCAACTTATTCTATTTGAGGCTTTTCCCATTTGGAAACTTCTTGTAATTTGCTTTATGAGACTGAAGTGCTGTCAGGTAAAAGGTATAGTAATTTATGATGTGTCACTATACTCTGCCTCGACAGGTTCACTAAGTTAAATATTCCTATAACTAATTTAATTACAGTGGCATTAGTATATAACTAATAAGATGATTTTTATAATTCAAGCAATGCCATGTTTGGTCAGACCTGGCAGCTTATTTATTCGGTTGAGAATCCCTGACTTTGACTTGGCAAATCTGTTTTGTAAGTTCTAACACCTATTTGCAAAGAGTCAATAATGGAAGCTCTTCACCATCAGTATTTACTCAGTGCTAGTTGTGGGTAAGTCTCAATGCCAACTTCTGGGGATTCAACTAGATACAAGTTCTTGCTACTCAAAGTGTGGTCCTGGACCAGAAGCACTGGTATCACCTGGGAGCTTCTTAGAAATGCAGACTCTCAGGCCCACCCTTCACCTTTTGAATTAGAATCTGTGACTTAGCAGGATCCCCACGTGATTGTATCTGGAAGGACTGGCATGAGATACAGTCCCTGCTTTGAGGGGCCTATAACCTCCTGGGGGAGCAAGGACCAGGACTGTAACAGATGTGTACCATTTGAGGCACTGCACGACAAGGATCAGATGCATAGCCCAGATGCTGAGGACTCCAGGTTCAACGTGGGTAGCATTCCAGAGTCTTGGGAAGAGGCAGAATAGGTAAAAGGAAGCTCTTCTTCCAGATGTGAACAAAGGATCCTGGGTGGAGGGCACATGATGCTCAGAGAATAATGACCATCATCTGCTCTCGGAGCTTCTTATTTCTGGGAAACTCCTCAAGAGCAAATGTTCCCAGGGGAAGTTGTTGACCTTCTCACCTATGACCAGACTGGTGATGAGGACAGGTTGTTAGTGGCGGTGGGCATTTCATACTGTACAGAGCATTGTGTACTGACAGTGACGGTAATCCATGATACGTGCTCATAAACTGCCTCAGGCATGTCAGTTTGATAGTACAAGACTTAGTTTTATGACGGTTCTCGTGGGGGGGAATTGACATCTGTGAGCGATGATTCTTTGCCTCTGGGGAACAATGGTTCCACTCCGAATTTATGGCTTCTGAGACTCAAGTTGTTTGCAGCTTGAATTCCTGGCTTTTGGATTTTATGGTGAGTGTTTGAAATCTTTAAGTGTTGGTGGATTGGAAATTAGGAGTGACCTCTTAGGGAAATTTTGAGCTCCTATCAAAATGTGATTTATCCTCTATCCCAAATATTTCTGACCTCTTTTTTTGACCATATGTGAAACTGGACTTAGTGCTATTGAATATAAAGCATTAATTGTAAATTAATGGGAGGAACTGTGTTTAGGGCACATTTCTTGAAGAACCTCAACTAATTATTATACATTGTTGTTCTTTGAGGAAAAGAGTACAGAAATTGTTAAACATTTTCTTTATACTGGAATTATAAATATTTAAATAGACTATGTAGGCCTAACTCCATAATACACATCAGCAACAATGTAATATTTTTTATCCAAATGTTTTAAATTTATAGTTTGTTGAATACACAGATGTGGAACCTGCAGATATGAAGGACCAACTGTATATACATATACACATATGAGTTTTTCTGGTCATTGCTTGTTTTATAAAAATGGGATTATGTTATATTTTATCTGCATCTTATTTTTTACATTTTAACAGCTACCTCATGGAAAGCACTCCAAGTCAATTGTTATAGCTCTAATTCACGATTTTTAATGGCTGCATGATGTGTTCCCTAATTTGTTCAATATTCCTATATTGATAGACATTTGCCTTGCTCCAAATTTTAAGGGTTAAAATTAATATCCTTGTTGATATAACATTAGGTCTTAAAACTTATTTTCATGGGATAGATTCCCAGGAGTGGGATTGCTGGTTGTATTTAAAATTTTAATAGAGATTGACAGATTGCTTAAACATAATGGCTTCATTTTCCACTGATAACTTTTTTGGTACACTTTTCAATTGGTTTAATTGCCTTTTTCTTGTTGATTTGCAAGAGTGCTTATATATTAGAGAAAGTAACCATTTATCTTTATTAAGAAACATTTAGAGAATCAATCCTTTGTTATGGACTTTGTTTATCAACAGTCTTTCCTTTTATAACTTCTGGATTAAGATATTGTGCATTGCAGTCTAGATTTTCTTCTAAGGTATTTATTGTTTGTGTGCTTTTGTGTGTTTGTGATAAGATATAGGACTTAATTTTATTTTCTTCCAGATAGAGAACCACTTGTGCCTGCACCATTTATTTGTCTTCCCCATAGAAACGAAATATCATCTTTGCTGTATATGAAATTCTCTCCCTGTTTCTTACTTTTCAACAGTTGACTATTAACTTGTCTTTTGGTGACTTCACATGTGTTCTTTTCTTCTCTCTTCTTGGGAAAGCATGGCTTGACAGTAATTCACCTTGCAGCCTGGTCTGGAGGCCTCGAGATCATGCTCATGCTGGTTAGAGCTGGAGCAGACCAGAGAGCCACGAATCGGGTCGGTATGTGGGTCACTCCTGGACATAAGCTCTCACCTTACAGTGCAGGAAGGGGAGGTCTTGAGATAACTATGTGATTACCTCCTCTAACCTGGCTGTCCTCAGGATGGAATGAATGCCCTTCACTTTGCAGCTCAGAGCAATAATGTACGCATTGTGGAGTACCTCATTCAAGATCTGCACCTGAAGGACCTGGACCAGCCTGATGAGGTACACTTGCTATGGTAGGACAGGTCTCCCATAGACCCCTATCAACTTCCCCTTTCTTTCTGCCCCTGCTGGAATGCCCGTGCAGCCAGCACAAACCTGCAGCCAGCTCTTCCATTGCCCTGGCAGAACCATGGAGCAGAAGGGAAGTGTGGGTGTTGGCCATGGCCCTGGCTCCGGCGTGTGGGAGGGAAGGAGGTAGTAAGGAAGCCACCAGATCCCTTCTTCCCTCTCTACTCCCTCATCCTGGCAGGGGTGTGGGCAGTATCCACAACTGTTTGGTATTCACAATGAGTAACCACACTTTACTCTGTGATGCCTGGCCTTTTAGGAATGTACTTGACCCAAGGCTCTACAGTGCCGGAAGCCAATTCCAGCATGTCATAATTGCAATGTTGATGGAACTTGGGGATTCAACAAGGGCTGAGTCACATGTGTTGTCACCTGTTGGGAATGGCTGAGGGCATTTCCTCAAACCTGAAAAGGGATGATTGCTTGCTGCCAGACAGCTCAGGGCATCTTAATCTACATGTTATTGCCTCCTACTGGCCAAACACCTGAACAGCGGTAGGCAAATTCTTCCAATCTCACAATGGGTTCTGTACCTAACCCTACCCTTTGAAGTGTATATCTCCACCTCACCTTAGGACAAATTGTGTTAATAAAAAGCAAAGGGTCCTGAGAGAGGAGATCTTAGTTTCTTTAGCTAAGCTCCTCTGACTCCCAAATGCCTTTCAAAATTATGCTTCATCTCTGGACTCTTTAAGTTACACACAGCCCTTCTCCAGATTGCTGAACCCTTCTAGATGCTGGAACAAGAACCCTGGCACTACAGTAATGAGCCATGGAATATAATGCAGTTTTATCATATTTGTCCATGTTTCTTTTGTTTTCATAAGGAGATATAATAACAGTTTTTGAGTAGTTATTAGTGTGCTAGGTACAGAGGAAAGCTACTTACATTCATTATTTCAGTGAGAGGCTAGAGCCTGGCACACATGGATGTTAAACAAATCATTGCTGAATGAATGAATTATCCTATTCATCTGCACAATAATTTTATAATGAAGAAAATAGTGTGCTCATTGTTAAAGGTAAGGAAGTTGAGGCTCAGAGAGGCTAAGTACTTGATCTGAAGTCCCAAAATTAGAAAGTGAAAGAGCCAGGTTGCGTGTTCAGGTCTGGCTGACTCTACTTACTGTGCAGTACTGTGTCCCTTTTCAGATGACAGTAGCCATTGCCCACGTGCTAGGGATTGTCTTTTCTCTGCAGTATCTCTTAGGTGTTTTTTTCATAGGATAGTATTCTCTGTGAGGTTGGCTTTGGGGAAGGGGGCATTTTTATTTTGAATGAAACCACCTTTTCACTTTACCTCCAGAACATTATTTTCCATAAAAGTCTCTAAAAGTTAGTCAGCAATATTTACTTCATTTTACTTCTTTTAAAAAAACTTTTACATTTTTTCCTGACCTCAGTCTAAAAACAACAATAACAAAAGCTATTTCTTCAAATAAAGCCTATAAATTTCTTTTACTTCCTCTGAGTATGATTAAGCAACTATACATTTATAGCTTGGAGGTAGAGAGACTTGGGCTATGGTCTGGGCATATATTATCTATGTGGCTCTAAGCAAGTTCTCCAACTGCTGAAAGCCTCAGTATCTCCATCTGTACAATGGGAATAATAAAATCTACTTCATGGTAGCACCAAGGGAATGATTGGAGGGGGATTGACCTCTATATAATTTTTTTTTCCAGCAACACCCCCATTTCTTGATGTAGACAATTGGCATTTTGTCAATTTTTTATGTAAAAATGGCTATGCTGATGAGCTTCATGGTGAGCCATTCCATCACCCCTTTCCAATCAGACATTACCCCTAAAACATTCTTATGTAGCAGATATTGGAGCAGCCACTATTGGAATGCTTAAATGAGTTAATGACTAAAGCACTTAGCAAAAAGCACTTGGCACATGGTAAGTGTTCACTAAATGGTAGCTATTATAACAATTATTATAGGATAAAGTCCACTATCTGATTTCCTCAAACCGATAATTACAGTCAGATAGCATCTAGTGTCAGGGAAAAGTTGGATCATTCTGGTTTGATGGATGCTGAGTAGGGGTGCAGCCTCTGAATGAATTCTATTCAGTTCAATTCAGCAGGTATTTGTTGAGGGCCTGTCATATATAAGACACACGACTGTCTTCCCTTTTTGTGGACTCTGGGTGCTTTCATGGGAGACAGCAGTGTGTGGGGAGGACCAGGCGGGCTGAAAGGGCTCAAAGATCAAAGCACATTTGTGGAGACCCTCCCCTATTTCAAGAGCTTCTGCTGGCCAGCAACCTTTGTGAAGGTGGAGCAGTCTTTTCTATCAAACTAGAGGCTCGGTACACGACATTCGTGCATGGGGGTGGGGGGCTCCTCAGCCTGGCCTTTCACAGTCCGGGAGCCCTTGTGGGATGTCTGACTGGCCTAAGCCGCAGTAGAACATCCTTAGTGCTGAGCTCCGCTCAGCCGGGTTTGTGGCTGAGTGGAGCTCCCCCTGTGGGAGCACACTGATCACCAGGGGGCAGCTCCTGCATTGAGCGTCTGCCCCCTGGTGGTCAGTGCGCATCATAGTGACTTGTCATTCTGCTGTTTGGTTGATTTGCATATTACCCTTTTATTACATAGGATGTGTTTCATCTCTTCAGCTGGTCTGGGTTTGTCCTGTTCCACCCTTCTTCCTCCTCCTCTGACTATCTGTTGGGTAAAAGGCTGAGGAGCCTTGGCAACAGACTGTGCAAGCTACATGTCCAGCTGAGAGATCTTACAAGAAAGATGGCTCTAGAGATATATGAGGAATGAACAAATAATGAGCCCACTTGGTCATCTAGGGAGAGCAGAATCTCTGAGTCCACTTTTAGTACTGTAAGAAACTTGGATTGATCAATTCCAAAGACAAAGTCTATTCTTTTTCTAAGATCTGTAGGTGGGGTGAAGGATGCTGGCAAAAGCTAGTGGGAGCTCAGGGTCTATGAATTTATCATTAGGTTTTCTGTCAGTGTTTGCTTAAAAGTATTGTGGAGCTCGTGAACACATTTGATAGAAAAGACTGCTTTACCTTCACGGTTGGCCCTCTGGCATAGTGTCTTATCAACAGAAAGTGATTAAGAGCCTGCTTATCTGCCCAGGCTTAGTGAAGTCCTTTCTTTAGCATGGAGGGAACTCCAGATGCTAGCAAGGAAAGCTCTACTGTGCAGAGGTCTTATTAATAAAATGGATTTGTCTGGGATTCCCGTGGAAATGGATGGTCAGGTTGGACTTTGGGTGCCCGTTAATGACTGTTTATTAACATTTTTGCTGAATTTAGTAACTTGTCAAATATGATGACCCTGGCAGTAAACTTAAAAATGAAAAATAGAAAGAGATTAATCAAAGAACATATATGTATATATGCATAACCCATGGACATAGACAATGGCATGGGGAAGACCTGGGGTAGGTTGGGGCAAAAAGGGAGAAAATTGGAGACATCTGTAATACTGTTAACCATAAAATAGAATTTAAAAAAAAGAAAAATAATTTCTAATCAACAATTGCAACTCTTAAGACTTACATGCAAAAAATTTAAATGCACTAAATTAAAACGTGTTAGGTTAAATATACATTAAGTTAATACAGGAAAAAAGGAGCAGGCATTCTGGGCCCTCCTTATTTTTGTTAGTAGGAAAGGGAATCAGTAACCTGAGCTGGGAAGGCATTGTGATTGTCTGGGCCCCGAAGTCTGGGGCTCTGACACCAGGCTCTACTTTTCTCCTGGTGGAAAAATCTCCCTGCCTCCTTACCTTCGAAGTGAGAGGTAGTCCTATGAGATGTAGTGGATAGAGGCCTATCCAGTTAAAAAGGGTCAGGTGGCTAAAAATGAAATGACATAATCAGAAACTATATTTAAAAACATTTATTTAAAAATTCATGTCGTTATTTTGCCTACATGTACTAGGATGGTAGAAAAGATTTATATTGCGTTTTACTGTTTCTTTAGGCTATGTTTGGTATTTTCTATTTACTAGATGGGATGCTGCTGCCCGATTCATGAACTGTTGAATAAAGCCATTTAGATCTTTAACTTAATATACATATACTTTATGATATTTCTGATGTTCATAAGGTACAGATTACTTTGTATAAATTGGCTTTCACTTGTTGTTGATGGTCACATTTTTAAAGGGCATTCAAAGTTTAAAGGAACAACTGTTTTGTTGGCGAGGAAAGATGTTTCATTTGTGATAACCTCCCATTTCCTGCCAGGCTATTCTTTGTGGGTGGGTCCTCTTATCACTTTGTTTCAATATGCAGAAATGCAAGACTTATGGCAAAGGTAAAAGAATAAGGCCATTTTAAAGTTGAACAGAGCCTCTGAGATACTCCTAGTAGTGTCTGTCCCCAATCTACTAAATATGTATTAGTTAGAATTCTTTCTGTTATGAGTTGGGGGGCAGGGGGGGAGCAGCTTAATCTAGATTAAGAAATAAGGTAATTTATTAACTCCTAAATTTGAGGGTATATCTTGCTAGCTTCAGGCATGGCTGGATCCATCTCCTGGCTTTCTCTGTGTTGGCATTATTGATAGGCATACTCTCCACAAGGTGGGAAAGACGGCTGCTAGCAGCCTCCAGTTTATACTCTTATGGACATTCTTAAGTATTTTATTTATTCACTTATTTACTTTTATATATGTTTTTATTGGTTTTAGAGAGAGAGGAAGGGAGAGGGAGAGAGAGAGAGAAACATTGATGTGAGAGAGTAATACCAATCAGTTGCCTCTCGTATGTACCTCGACCATGGATGGAACCCATAAACTGGGTGTGTGCCCTGATCAGGAATTGACCAGCAACCTTTTGGTGCCTGGGATGATAGTCAACCAACTGAGCCACACTGGCCAGGGCTGAATAATGCCTACTTTCTTGATTCCATTTCATATAGATCAGCGGTTCTCAACCTGTGGATCTCGACCCCTTTTGCCGTTGAATGACCCTTTCACAGGAGTCGCCTAAGACCATCCTGCATATCAGATATTTACATTACGATTCATAACAGTAGCAACATTACAGTTATGAAGTAGCAACGAAAATAATTTTATCGTTGGGTCACAACATGAGGAACTATATTTAAAGGACCAGAAGGTTGAGAACCACTGTTCTAGGAGCATTTAAGCCAGGCTCTTAGCCAAGGACCCTGGCCAACAGGGGAGCCTCCATTTATTTATTTGTGTGTGTATGCACTCTTTTCTGACTATCTGGCGAGATGATCAGGATTAATGGATTTAACTTAATTAAAGGCGATCCCAGGAACTTGGTTCTTTTGGATGAAAGTTAGGACGGATGTTTTAGAAACTCAAAAAGAACACGAATCACCTCGGGTGGATTGTAGGTGTGCTGTGCCTTCAGGAATCACTATAGAGATGGAGTCCTGAGGTCACAGGGTTTAAAGTCTTAGTCGTGCTGGCCCTGCTCTGTTTTAATGCTTGACCACTGGAATGTGTGCACTTGGGTTTCATCCACCTTTTGGCTATTTTTGAGTCAGGGCCCATTGGGGAGAACTCGTAACATCCAGCAAACTGTAATTACAGGTTATGATAGGCTTCCTTGCACAAAGTAGAGTGTCTGTGATATTGCTAGCCTTTTGGACAAGGCCCATAACATCCATACCGTCCCCGGCTGCCTCTGTTTCTTGGGAGAAGCTGTTGCCAGAGCAGCTGGAGTGGCCTATGTGAATATGCTCTAGACTAGAGCAATTGCCTCCAAACATGTTTGGTAGCAAACTCATGTCAGGAAACAAAGTTTGTGCGTGTGCCGGCCACATATATATTTAGAGTTAACACATTACAAAACATATGCCTGAAATAGACATTTTAAAAAATTGAGATAAGAATCAAGATAAACAGCAGTTCTCATATTTCCCCGACACTGAAATGATTCCCTTGTATACCTCTCGTGTGTTTTCCTGCCAGTTTTCTTTGAATTCCCATGCATGTATACATTGTAGTGGATGCCCCAAATTCATTTAGTTTATTATTTAGTTAGTTTATTTCAGTTTTCCTTTATTATATGCTATCATGAACCTCTTGGTGCATAACCCTTAGTTTGAATTCCTCACTATTTCCTTTGGGTGTATTCTTAGAGGTAGGATTGTTGGATCAAAGATATGAACGTTTATTAGGCTCTTAATATGTTAAAGATGTGAATTCTTTCCTTCACATTTTGTGCAAATGTTTTTCCACTGGGGTTTGCCTTTTGGCATCTCTTTTCCTGGGAAAATGAGAAGGTAGGTTATGAGGAGAAATTCTGTTGTAACAGATGGCTGTCCCAGGCACTCAGGTGAGGCAGCGGGGACACAGTTTTTCCATCTGGTTGCAATGGGAACTTGTTTCCATGCTCTTGCACCCCCGTTACCATGATTGTTCATATCGAAAGAGCTACAAGTAGAACCTCTGAGCTGTCCTGATGCAGTTCTTAAGGATGTTTTTCTTAACATCCAACAGGGGAAATGGTTTTAGGAAAGAATCTGCACAAGGAGGGGGAAATGTCCAAGTAGTTGTTATATGAGACCAGTTTCTTTTCTCTCTCTGTTTTGGCCTAAACTAAACTCACTCTGTCCTGTTAGGTTTGTCATAAGTTTCAAGAAACTTAATTATTACAGAAATAGCATATTACTTTAAAAAAATGACATACAACATTTTAAGTCATTTTTAAAGGTTAAAGCTGCACTTGGTACACATGTGCTTCTATTTTTGTGTTTCCCTGCATCATAAGTCCTTGTTTCTGTGATTATCTTTCTTAACAAGCTGTAACCGTCTGATGGGTAGGGTCTGTGTCATATTTGTCTTTTCCATCCCAGTGCCTAGCAGTGATAGATAGTAGGTGTCTATTAAATGTTTTCTGGATAAATTAACAAAGGTTAAGGTTATGAGTGATGGAGGGAAACAGTTTGAAAGGAGGCAGCATAACAGAGTAAAGAATGCAGGTTTGGGAGCCAAACAGCTGGACTCCATCGTAGTTTTGCCACTTTTCAACTGAGGCTCAGTTTCTTTATCTGTAAAATGAAGATAATATTAATTCTGATCTCATGGGGTTGTTGTGGAACTTAACTGTGCCAAAGCATAGTCTTGGCAAAATATGTTGGCACATAGATGCTTAATAAATGCTATCCATTATCAAGAGTAATGCACAAATGCTATCCATTAGTAAGAGTAAAGCACACTGTTTCTCAAGCAGCTTCATTCCATGACAAGAGGTAATTAATTTTTACATTTTTCCTTTTGTTAGAATGGAGAAACACCCTTCTTCCTAGCTGTTGCAGGAGGTCATGAAGAATGCAGCAAAGTGCTGGTGGCAGCAGGAAGTGCTATCAACATTCCAAATAAAGTATGTGTTCCACTCACGCAGTGGGAGGGGCACTCAGGATGCTCTTTGGGTAATCGGGTCCTGTGTTGGTCCACTCACTGGGCTTCTGTAGAGTTAATATTTATAATTGGTTTTGTTTGGGGTAAACATTATTGATTTATCTCTGATATCCCCTAGTTAATGTCTCCTCAAAAGCAATGCCATTCTCCCTAGTTATTTTTTAAATTTTTCATTTAAAAAAAATTTTAGAGAGAGGAAGGGAAGGAGGGAGAAGGAAAGGGAGGAGAGAGAGAGAGAGAGAGAGAGAGAGAGAGAGACATCAATGTAAGAGAGAAACATTGATTGGTTGTTTCCCTTATGTGCCCTGACTGGGGGTTGAACCCGAAACCCAGGCATGCACCCTGACTGGGAATTGAACCTGCCACCTTTTTTGTGTACGCGACGACATTCCAACCAACTGAGCCACATTGGCCAGGGCTCTCCCTATTTATTTGGGGAAGGAATAATTGAAAATGGGGCAAAAGGAGCAGATAGTTGTTACTTCTCAAATACAGAAACACTCTTATTTTGCTTTATTTTCACCCTACCGACTAGTGCGTGCCTGGTTTTTGTCAACCCATAGTAGGGGTTGACAAAAAAAAATTTTGTTTTAATTGTGTGCAAGCCCAGGGGTCAGTCTGGAGCCTGGAGAAGGCAGGAAGGTGCCTTCCTGTGAATACAAAACACTTTGGTGCTAAGAGCCTTTGACGTCGATCTTCATTTTTTAGATGAGAAAACTGGAATTTAGAAAAGCTAAGGAAGTCATGCAGGATCACGTGACTAGCTAATGGCAGTGCCAAGGGGACAGCTCATGTGCCTGAGCTCCTGACCACTGCCGTGGCCTTGTCTGTCGATGGTTTTACTTTCCTTTTCTATTTAAATTATAATGAAAATAACAAAAACTTTTGAACAGTACCAAAAGGTATATGATGAAAAATGTCTTATTCCACCTCAACTTTGAAATCTCACCTCCTCAGAATTAACATTATTAATAGTTTATTTAATCTTACATGGAAAATGTGATTAAACACACGCACATATCCACACCGACACCACATTAATGGTAGCCATATATACTGCTCTGCACCCTGTTTTTGTTTAAATTGCCATAGATCTTGGAGATCTCTCCATATCTGCACAACGTATAAACAGTTCCTCTTCAGAAGTGTTAGAGAATAAAGTCCCAAACTGGTACTACTTTATACCCTTTTATTCTGCTGGCAGGCGTATACATTTATTTGACCCTCTTGAAAAGCGATTGGTCACTTTTCTTCCACCCAAGTTTCAGGAATTATTTATTGTTAAAACACCTGAGGATGTTTTTCATTGATTCTAGTGAGAGAGGAAGGGAGAGGGAGAGAGAGAAGCATCGATGTGAGTGAGAAACATTGATTGGTTGCCTCATGCACACACCTTAATCAGGGATTGGACCTGCAACCTGGGTATGTGCCCTGACTGGGAATCAAACCCGAGACACTTTGGTGCACGGGACGACACCCCAACCACTGAGCACACCAGCCAGGGCAGAGAAATTATTTTAAGGGGATGATCTAAAAGGGGGAAATAAGCCTCATGCATTAAAATAGATGTTAAAGTTGGCTTTGTAATGTCTTTTACAAGCTCACTTCTCCCCACCTAAAGCTGCAGGCCCCACGTTGTCCACATTCTTATGGCCTTGGCCTCATCTAGGCGGTCTGGAAATTGTCCTGAGTCCATTTTTCAGCTTTTATGTTATCTTGACTTTTCCCTCTGAGCTTATTAACGTACTTCCTGGATCTATAGTCTCAGCCCCCACTGGCGTTCCATACCTGCCTCTGCCCAGTCTAGTGAGGACCCCAGGGAAGCAGGCAGTGGATGCAAGAAGCCAGCAGCATGGACGCACATTACCCAGGGGACACGCTGGACTCATTTTGCTTTCACATCTGTAGGTGATTATTGTGTACGCTCTTGGAAGTGCTTCCCCTGCTGACATTGATTAGTCTTGGTCTCCAGGAGATTGCTTTTGTGTCCCCACTCCCAACCAATGGGGGTGGTGGTAAAGGGTTGAGTCATTGCTGAGGAGGTAATTGAAGTAGATTATGGATTTAGCTGATGGTCGACTGCCTCCATTAGTGCTGGATGGAGAGACTGCCCAGAGTTTGGGCAATAGGCTCTCTTCAGGGCCGTACTCACTTGCCTGGGTCCAGTACAGACTTCTGTAGACCCTAAGAACTCATATTTCTGGGGGGTCCTCTCCTCACATCTTATTAAGCAGATTTAAATTGCCCCACATTTCACAACAAATAATTTTTTTTTTTTTGCTGAAACTTATTTTTAAAGGCTCTTTTATTTGCACTTTCATAATTATTTGTATATGGTAAACTCCCCTAATTTATGATTGATTTCTTAAGACCTCTGTTCATACTTGGGAATTTCAGGAAGGTGAAAAAATGTAACCTACAAATTGCTTACAAATGTAATGAATATTTTATGAATATTTCATTTAACAATCAATGAAGTATGAATATGTCACTTAAATATTTATTTACTTCAATTTCGTGGTTTTCTTTTGGTATCTTGGAACTTTTTTTTTTTTTAAAGATTTCAGATATTTCTTTGGCTCTGAAAGGTCTGGAGGCCTATGCACTGTGCCTGTGGCACCTCACGGGTACAATGCCGCAGACGCCCACAGCTCTTCCTCTATAGCAGTGGTCGGCAAACTCATTAGTCATCAGAGCCAAATATCAACAGTATAACGATTGAAATTTCTTTTGAGAGCCAAATTTTTTAAACTTAAACTATATAGGTAGGTACATTGTTATTAACTTAATTAGGGTACTCCTGAGGCTTAGGAAGAGCCACACTCATGGGGCCAAAGAGCCGCATGTGGCTCGAGAGCCACAGTTTGCCAACCACTGCTATAGGGTCCCTGGCTTTGGGTTCTTCACAAACTTGTTTCTGCTTCAGATCTCCCTGATCTCAGTCTAAATGTCACCCCATCCAAGAAGCCTTTCTTGATCCTTTACTGGAAAGTAGTCATCCAGTCCTATTTTACTTCTCATTGTAGCACTTATCCTTAGCTGATATTAGTCTTTTAATAACATCTAGAGTCTAATAAATTCATTCTTGACTGATCTACCAATCTATGAACCTATAGATCAATTTATTTAGCTCACTCCCACAGAGATCTTGTCAGTCTCCTCAAATCCCCCCAATATCTAACATAGTGCCGGCACAGAAAAAGTGTGCAATAATTTTTTGTGAAGTGAATAAGATTATAATTATGATTACTATACATATTTACTAGCTCATTTATTGTCCCAGTATTGCTGTGTTTTGAGAGAAAGCGATAGGGTGGTGTGATAAGCAGAACAATGGCCCCGCAGCCTAATCCTGGGAATCTGTGAATACGTTATGGTACCTGGCAAAGGGAAATTTAGGTTGCAGAGGGAATTAAGGTTGTTTGTCACCTGACCTTAAAATGGGAGTATCCTGCATTATCCAGTCGATGCTGATGTAATCACAAGGGTCCTTTAAAGCGAACGAGGGAGGTGGGCAAAGAGGTCAGAGGGAGGCAATATGAGAAGGACTCCGCGCACCCTTGCCAGCTTTGAAGATGGAGGAAGGGGGCCGTGAACCAAGGGATGTGAGGGGTTCTATAAAATGGAAAAGGCCAAGGTATGGATTCTTCTGAAAGCCTCCAAAAAGGCCTTTATTTTAGCCCAGTAAGACCCATTTCAGACTTCTGACTTTCAGACCAGTAAGATAATACATTTGTATTGTTTAAGCTATCAAGTTTGTGGTGCTTTGTTAATAATAGCAATAAAAAACCAATGTAGGTGGTAATGTCATTTCTATAGAGGAGGACAAAGTGGCCCATATCTGAGAGGCCACTTATCCAAGGTTATAAAGGCATTTGATATCAGCTCATGCTACCCTAGTTGGTCAGAATGTATATTATTCCTGTTAGCATCTGTTCCACTTATCTATTGCGTCATAACAAACCAGCCCAAAGTGCAGTGGCTTAAAACAATGCGTTATTGTCTTTTGTGGCTCTGAGGGTTGACCAGGCCCAGCTGGGAGATGCTTACTCTAGGTCTAGGTCTATTATGTGGTTACAGTGAGATGTCAGTCAGGCCTTCAGTCATCTGAAGGCTTAACTGAGGTGGGTGTCCGCAGAGGCTCACTCGCATGCCTGGCAGAGGACCAGCATGTGGTGTCTCCATATGCCTTGGTCTTCTCACGGCATGGCAACTGGCTTCCATGAGGTAGGAAGCAGAAGCTGCCAGGCCAGGTAGGGGCCGCACCTGGCACTGGCACGCTGTCACTTCTGCCATATTCTATTAGTCAAAGCAGTTACAGGATCTACCCAGATTCAATGGGCGAAGAAATAAACTCCACTGCTTGATGGGGGAGTGGCAGGGTCATGCTGCAGAAGAGCATGTGGGAGAGGAGATACCTGTGCAGCCATTTTAGGAAAACATACTCTCCTACAGCATCCTGGGCCCCAAAACTGTGTAGCAATCCTACAATGAATTAAACAATAGCTATGTGTTGGCCTTGCATTATTGCAAGGCACCTGCTAGGCCTTGTGGAAGATGGCAGGATAGTCAAGAGTAGGCCCTGACCTAAAGCAGTTTGACATCTAGCGTGGGCACTGGGTGAAGACGTTTGAGCACAGGGAGCTGTAAGAGGCAGCTGCTGGCAGTGGAGGGGAGGGAGTGCTAAAGGGGTTGAGAAAAAGGGCCATGAGGAATGCTGCAGCGTTCCCTCAGTATCGGTCATGCTAAGCTTTGGCAAAGGGGAGAGCTGCTAGCAAGCAGGCAAGGAGGCAGAGAGTGCTGAGGCGTTTCTTGGGACCAATACCACGTCAGCTATTTTGGCTCAAGGGGGCGGGGTGGGGTTGCAGGATGTATAGAGAGAAGACTTGGCTCTAGTCTACTTTGTGCTTCCTGGAGAAGGGAAACAGATTTAACCCATATTTGCCTGAGGCATGTATTCCTCTGACTCTTTAGTGGAAAACATGTAGAAGCAACACAGAACCTCCCCAAATTATCGAAAACACATTGGATTTTCTTTATTAAATAGTCATACCACTTCATTGAATTAATTGACTGCCATGTGACGAATGCCAGAAAGCATGCTGGATTCCAATGGGAAGCCCTCTGTGCCCTTTCCACCTGTTTCCTGCAGCTCAATACCAGTGCTTTGCAGATAGCAACCCAGAATGGCCACGCAGCCCTTGTCAGCTTCTTCTCAGGGAGAACACTGATCTGCACCAGAATGTGACGGTGAGTCTATTCCAGTCACTCCGGCTCTGATGGTGGCGCTGGGAGGCTGGCCTGTGGGAGATGCTCCCCGCAGATACGCGGTGGGGACGGGGACGGGTGCTCACAAAGAAGGGATTCTTTCTGGGACGGCCGACTGACTTCTTTTGGAGACTGAGTCTTAATATTGAGAAATAAAATCCGAGGAATGAAATTTAGAAAGTCATTGAAGTTCCTGGAGAAAATGAAATCTGTGTGGTTTAAACATTTATATTTGCTATGTGTCTAGAGATGCCATTCTTCTTGTATTAAATTCATCAGTCTGGGCAAATGATGAAGCTGCTGTCAATAGGAAGGAGAAAGATCATTTTCCCTCCTTCAGGAACAGTCTTGTTTTTCTTTTGAAAGTCAATCCTTCATGCTGATTTCGGTTTTCTGAAGTTTGAATTGGCTTTGGTAAAACTTACAAAGGTTCTCTGTGCTGGAATTAGATGGGAAACATTCCTCTATTTCTCACCCTGTTTTTCTTTCCTCCTGTGAGAATATTATTTCCTCGGATCTTGCTCAACCATTACTACTTATTGTATTAACTCCAGAGAAGTGATGTGCTTTCAACCATGGCTGGTCGTTTTTGGAGAAGGGCGTTGAGGAATTGGCTCTGAACTTGCCTGGCCCATCCAGAGATGCTTCCTTTTCCTCAGGAGGGGCTGGGCCCCAGCAAGGCCGGTGGTCCAGCAGGAAGGACACTGCCCACTCCCTGGGAGGAGGGATACTTGTTCCTACTCTCTTTTTTTTCGTGCTCAGTGTGTCAAGAGGGAAGGTTCCTCCTGAGCAGATGGGGCCTGTGCAGAAAGCCTTCCCTGCACATTGCCCCCTCCAGCCCCATCTGTCTCCCATTTCCCTTGCTCACCCTCTGCCCACTCCCACATATGCTCTCCTGCTACTCTTTACTTTCCTCCAAAGCCCTTACCATAATATGTAATTGTATATTTATTTTGTGACTAAAAAACAAACAAACAAACACCAGTTAATATTTGCTTCCCCCACTAGATTGCAAGATTCCTGAGAATGGGCCATGCTCACCACTCAGTCCCTAGTGTCCTGAAAAGAGCCTGGGCTTCAGGGTATAGTTCTAGAACGAATGAAGGGGGAAGCTGGTCGTTGGTGAGCAGGTTTGCTGCCCAGCCCTGGGATGGAGAAGACTGCTTAGCACGGACTAGAGGTCATCCCTGTGCTGGGCAAGTCGGTACGCAGAGTATTAGGAGGCGTCTGCTGAAACGAGTCACTTTTTTATATGAAGGAGGAAGCCAGGATGTTTGTATTTGAAATTTTTGTTTATTTCTGTAGCCTAAGGCGTCCGCCCTTCATTTAGCTGTTATCAACAACCACATCGCCTGGTCAACAGCTTAAGTGCACAGCATGACATTGACGTCTTAAATCAGGTAAGTCAGGCAAGTCAGAACCTGGAGTGTCTCTTATATGTCTCAGCACAGTGTGTGTTTAGGGGTAGTTTTGATCAAGTTCACGGCGCTCTAAAATGTCCTGAGAGGAATGTGCACATTCTTTTTATCCTTGTTTTCTCTGTAACCTGCACACAGATACTTCGTCTTTTTCCAACACACAAACGGGCTCTGCCAGTATGTTTATTTAATGGGCCTGGCTTTTCTGATAGATGATCAGTAGCTCAGAGGTAAGTTCCCAGAGGCTCTTTAAATGAAAAGCTCTGCCCCCAGTTGAGATGTTGTAATGGGGGGGGGAGGGGGGGGCTTTGCCACAAGAAGGAAGCTTTGTTTCTATGTTATAGACAGTATTTTAGCCCAGAGGCAAAATCTTGTAATAAAAATCGCCATGATTTCAATCCAGGGGAGCAGCATCGAATAGCCCATAAAAGGAATCCATCTCTGGCTGGAAGTGGACAGGTGGGGGTGGGAGAGTGAAGAGGGTGGGGATGGGCCTGCCCTCAGGCGGCTGCCCTCTCCCAGGAGCTGCTGGGAGGGAATGGGGAGGGAAGCTCTCAGGAGAGGAGCCCTCCCAGAACCCTGAGGACAGAGACCTCTGGGCTCCCCCTGCCTTTCTGGCTGCCTCTTCCCAGAGAAGCCTGGGCTGTGCCCTGGGGTGGAGCCGGCCAGGTGGGCGGGCGTGCCGGCTAACCTGCTGCACATCTGTCCACCCGGGGCACCCACTCATCTGTGTCGTCTTCTCCTCGGAGCTCACCTGTGCCCTGAGCTGATGGAGACCATTGCCCTTCTGTGCCTCCTTCCCCGGGGACCTTCCTCCTCCCCCATCTTCTATCCCAAAGTTTGGGGGAAGAAAAGCTCCTCTTGTTCTTAAATATACTTATGTGCTCAGCTATGTTAATGCCCTCGGCCTTTCCTACTAGATCTACTCCAGAGAAGGAGGGTATGCTAGCTACCATCCAGTTATAGAACCAGACTTGATTGTTTTAATTTGTTGTTAGACCAGGAATGCATTTAGTATATGAAAATAAGAAAACATAAATAAGCTAAAAACTTATAATTTATTTGTAATCTCCCCAAAGAGGGAGAACTCTTGTTAGCATTTTGGCGCATCTCCTGCCTCAGACTTACAGCAGCACTGTCACATGAGATTTTACAAGGATTTGACGTTTTACACGTGTGTCTCCCTTCCACGTTGGATAGGCCTGCGGTAGGTTTGTCAGTATAAGTGCAATGTCTGGGGTGATGATCCCCCTGAGGGGCACGCAGCCATCCAACAGTCTTTAATAAGTGCACGTTGATATTAATTATGGGAATGCCCTACGCACGTTGGCCTGTGCGCTGGTAGGAAGAGTACTGGGCTTGGTTATTGCCCAGCTGTGTAACCTGAGGAAATTGCTTCCTTTCTCTGGTTTAGGGGTGGGGCTACATCACAACCAACATTCTGTCCCAATATTTTAGAAATGTTTCACATCAGCAGTACTTTGGGTGGTAGATTAAGGTGGGTGGCTTCTTACGATTTCAGATATTCTTTGAGACACTCTTATCCTCTTAATAGGAAAATGATTGTTCCAGAAAGAAATGAGAAGTCCTATAGTCTCTTATATGTTACAATGCAGGAAATTTACAAAATAGAAGAGGATGGAGAATAAAAGTAACTTCGGATCCCACTATCTAGATATTATTACTCTTAAGATCATGGATGTATTTTCTTATATAAATTTTTAAATATATATTTGAGCTCAGCTAAATATAATGTTGTTTCCTTGTTTTCTAAGGCTTTTAACGTTAAGTAAGTATTTTTTCCATTTTAAAAAATAATATTTGAAACTATTTTTTATTGTGGCAAAATATGCATGACATAACATTTACCTTTTTAACCATTTGTAAATGTACAGCTCAGTGGCATTAAGTATATTCACATTGTCGCACAACTATCACAACCATTCATCTTTCCCAAACTGAAACGCTATTTCCATTAAATAGTAACTCCCCAGACTCCTCCCCTCAGCCCCTGGCAACCACCATTCTACTTCCTGTCCCTATGAACCTGACTGTTCTAGGCACCTCATATTGGAATCACTTTTTAAAAACTATCTTTAATAGTTGCCTACTATTCCAATATATGGGCATTCCATAGTTCATCTAATGCAGTGGTTCCCAATGTGGGGCACATGCCCCACAGGGAGGCAATTTGATTTTGAAGGGGGGCAATTGGAGATGAGTTATTAACAGTGAATTTTGTGCATTTCTTATGGTTCTAGGGACCTCATATACAGTGTGTAAAAATATATTGTGACATATTTATGCATTTCAGCTCTCTATTATATGTTCTGAAACTTTATTTGCTATTTTTTCATATCACTTCATATTATTATTTTTTTAACAGTTTCTTAGTGATTTCTTCCTCAGTACTTCAACTGTCCTTTCATTCTTTTATTTTTTTCTTTCATGGATGCCATGTTCTTTGGAAGCTTGTTTAGACCAAGTTAATGGCCTTTTAGGCTTCCTCCATGTGAGTAGGAGTTCACTTTTTGAATAATAAGAATTATATGTCACGGGCGGGGGTGGGAGGATCTGGATTTTAGAGATTCTTAGGTGGGGCATGGCCAGAAAAAGGTTGGGAACCACTGATCCAATGAATCTCCTTGTTAAACATGCAACTTCCTATCGTTTTTTACTGTCATAAACAGTACTGCCATGAATGTCCCCTGTGCGTACTTAAAAATATGTGATCTTATCTGTTTTTCCTGATGTTGATATAGAACACTATTTTCTCTTTGTCTTGTCACTATGCAAATTTTTCCCCTTCTTAACAAGCTTGGATCACAGTTTTGAAATTTCTCATGGCAGAGGCAGCAGACTGCTTTGCACGTAGCTGCCGACCTTGGAAACATGGATGTGGTGGAAACCCTGCTGAAGGCAGGCTGTGATCTGAAGGCTGTGGATAAGGTAACTTCATGGACTTCACTCTGTGCAGCTGCGATGGTTGCTGAGAACGCCCTGTTGGCTGGAAGCCGTGAGCAGCAGCATAGCCGTTGTGAAATGGACGCAAACTAGAGAAACCTTTGTCTTGATAGTCAGTAAAGAATCTCAAGATAAGTCAGTAAGAATTTTTACTCTGAACAATAAAATGTGTTTTTAAAATTCAAATTATTTATTAATTTTTTGAAAAGATTACAGATTCACATGGTGCAATATATATAATTAGTAAAGGTTTGACAGTAAATATTTCCCGCCCACCTCTGTCCCTGTTTGTCTGGTTCCCATACTACCCTTGACATATGTATCCATTATCATACATTTCTCTATTCTTTCTAGAGTTTCTTTCTGCATAGGTAAGCAAACATAAATATATTTTACTCTTCTTTTATTCCTCTGTCCTTTTTACACAGTGGTGATATACCTCTACATTTTGTTCTGCATGTAGCGTTTTTGCTTTAACAATATAAAATGGTGATGGTCCCATATTAGTACGTGGAGAGTTCATCCTTTTTTACACAAGTGCATAATAGAGTGTGGTATGGGCATATGGTAATTTAGTCCTCAGCTGATGGCCATTTAAGTTGTTCCTAAGCTTTTACTGTTATAAACAGAGCTGCAATAAACATACTCATGCATGTCTAAACTTTTTATTTTAAAAAGTTTTTAAATAGTAAAATACACAAAACATAAAATTTACCATCTTGATCATTTTTAAGTGTGCAGTTGAGTATTGTTAAGTACCTTCTCACTGTTGTGCAACCAATCTCTAGAACCTTTTCATCTTGCGAAACTGAAACTCTATGAACAACTGCCCATTTCCTCCTCCTCCCTTCCTCCCTACCCAGGCCCTGGCAACCACCATTCTACTTTGTCTCTATGAATTTGACTGCTCTAGGCACTTCATATATGTGGAATCCTACAGTACTTGACTTTTGTAATTGGCTTATTTCACTTAGCATAATGTCCCCAAGATTCATCCATGTTGTAGCATGTGTTAGAATTTCTTTTATTGTATACTAGAGGCCCAGTGTACGGATTCGTGCACTGGTGGGGTCCCTTGGCCTGGCCTGCAGGAATCGTGGACCTCCACACCGCCACAGCCCAGCCTTACCCGCTAGCTCGTTGGGCTCCAGTCTGCTGTCCACGACGATCCCTCACAGCACGGAGTAGTGCACGAAGTGGCATGTGGCCAGGGAGGAGCCCAAGCCTGAGCCTGGGCTGGGTGCCAAGCCACTCCCGCTCATCTATCCCCACTGCACCTGGGTACGCAGGGGGTGTTCGTGGGAGAGGCTCGCGCCATAGCTGTGCTCACCAGCCATCAGCCCGGGCGTCTGACGCCCATCTGTCAGCTGAGCAGAGCTCCGGCTGTGGGAGTGCACTGACCTCCAGGGGTCAGCTCCTGCATTGAGCGTCTTCCCCCTGGTGGTCAGTGCGCGTCATAGCGACCCGTCAGTTCCGCTGTTCGGTTGATTTGCATTTTAGGGTTTTATTTGAACATTTGGGTTGCTTCCACCTTTTGGCTATTATGGGGACTTGTTTGATGAAGGAATGCAGGCTCAGCCATTGGAGGGTAGCGGGATCACTGTCCATTAGGTTCCAGCTTTACTGAATGATGGAAAAGCTACAGACTGCTGGTGGCAGCCCTGTGAGTTGCTCACACACTCTATCTTCCTTCAATCCTCACATGTCTTCTGTGAAGGGGACAAAAAAAACCTACTTTTTAAGACAAGATTTGAGAAATGTTAATGACAGCAGGGGCACACACATAGTAAGAGCCTGGCTTCAAAGTCACGGCTCCTGGCTGCTCGATTGTCTGGTGCTTTCCCATCTTGTCTTCACCCAGATGGTTCACCAGCTCAGCATACCCCTAATTCCCAGTGTAATCACCCTACTCTACTTCCGAATCACACATTTTACACTTTTAGGATTGGAAGTAGTGATATGCTATTTTACTCTTCTCTGTATGTCACTTTTTAAAATTAACTCTTTTTTTCTGGTAATAAAAATAATACAGTTCCTCTGTCGACAATCTGGAAAACATAGAAAAGCATAAGGAAAACACAACCACCCATAATTCCATGACTTAGGTGGCACCTCACGAGTTGTAGCTCATTAGCTTCTAATAACATTTAGGATTAGTATTAACATTTAGTGTTAGTATTTTCCTGTGCTTTCTTTTTGTACTTTATTCTACTTTTTCATTAATATATAACACCTCCAGGGCAGTCTTGGGGGGTGGAGAATCTATATAGCATTGCAGGGACTTCATGTTGGGTCCCTTGGTGATAGTGGACTGGCTATTTGAGTAAACACTGTTAATACTACGACTTGACTTTGTTTTCAGAACAATAGCCCACAGTTTACTAGACCTCACAATTGATTTTCCCAGATTTTCCTTCTCCTCCTCTCTCTTTCCTCTCAGGGCCTAGAATATAGTTGGCACCAAACACATATTGAATTAATAAATAAAAGCTACCTTTTCTATCTGCTCCAACAATTTTTACCAAAGATAAGTGACTGTTTCCGACTCAATTAAGACCTGGATGGGAAAAAAGGAGCCAAGGTTTGGTATACATTTGACTTTCCCAGAAACGTGTTCTCTGGGCCTGAGATATCACAAGGCTCCCCGAGGGCCTTCCACCCTCAATGGCATAAGTATTTGGATTTCCACTCCAGCACACACTCCGGGGGAAGGGTTTCTTTTTAAAAAAATACATATTTTTAATGACTTCAGAGAGGAAGGAAGAGGGATAGAGAGATAGAAACATCGTTGATATGAGAGAATCATTGATTGGCTGCCTCTTGCACACCCCACACTGGGGATCAAGCCCTCAACCTGGGCATACGCCCTTTCCAGGAATTCAACCGTGAACTCCTGGTTCATAGGTCAACACTCAACCTGGCCATGCTGGCCAGGCCCAGGAAAGGTTTTCTATGAGCCTGAAAACTGGCTCTCAGAATGCTGCCTTCCCCAAATAGGCTAATTACGGTGATGCAAATGGCTTTACAAGCCAGAATTTAGACAATGTATACTTGGAGGCTTGCTAAATGCCTGCAAAATGCAGTTCTTCCTAATTTCATTACTGTCTCTTTTGATTAGAAGCTGATTGCTTTCAGCCCTAATTTTTAGGCTCACCTGGGTCTTAGTGCCTGCCCTAACAGCTGAATCATTTGGGTTGCTGGGAGTTGCAAGTAGTCAGATGTGAGAGAATAATTGGGATAAATTTCTGGATCCCTAAGCATAGAAACGTAGGTTCCTGTGATTGGAACTTCTTCTTGGGTTATGTCTGACCATTCATTTTAATTTTTGTCAGGATTCTTGAGCAAATTTTTCATGGGTCGTTGGCAAAACAAAGGGAACTGCCCCCTTTTGCTCAGGAAAATAAAATGTATAGATGTCTAGATTGTGTACTGCATAAAATCTAGGGGGAAACATCTAGAGTACACTGCTTGCAAAGCTGTGTGCCTGGCTTTAAGCTATATCCATCCTGACAAAGGCGTGCCTTCTGTAATTTAAGGTACCATATCAGCTCCAGGCCACTCCTGCCCCAAATTATGTCTAGAATAGCCCTTATTTATCAGACTATTTGGTTAAGATTTCAACCCTCATCCTTGGTTAGAGGTAATATGATATAATAGAAAACAAATTCTAGTTAGGAGCCTAGCAAGCTGAATTCTGTGCTATGAATTAGTCATGTTGTCATGAGTGATATTACTTTAAATAAAATCTAGCCCTTTTCTGTCTTATTAACCTTCTTAATGCACGGCTCCCGCTTCCTGGGCTAAGGTGGCTGTTGAAGCTCTTACCGCCATGCCAGCATTCCACTCAGGAGGAGGAGGAAAGGAAGGAGAGTGAAATCCCTCCTCTATTTAAAGATACTTCCCAGAAGTTGCATGTACCGCTGGCCAGAACTCAGTACAAGGGGGACTAGGAATTGTTTGGAGTGGCCAAGTGCCCAGCTAAAACCAAGAGGTCTCTTCCTATAGAAGAAAGGAAGGGAAGGCTATGGAAGGGTGGGGGCATGGCCGCTTGCTAAAGCCTCTGCCACAGGTCGAGTCTGCCTTTGGAGGAGAAAAGGTACAATCATGTAATTTATTTGCTGAGCACATCCCAGGGCAGTGAGCCAGGGAGAACCCGGGGGGTATTGGAGAAATGTTTGGGTTCTCATTGGTAGAGCACGTGTAAAATATTACTTGTTGATCATGAGTCCCTAGCCCAAACTCTTTCCCTTGCCCAGTTGTCCCAGCACCAGACACGATCAATATCTAGCATTTCTTGGACAATTTACATGTGTCATGCATGACATGTCCTAAGGGCATTACATACATTATCTTATATACCTTTCACCACGACACCATGAAGTAGTTACTGAGATGGAGAGCAGCTAAGGACTGGCCCAAGTTCACCCTGCAAGGAAGCAGTAGGGTTAGAATTTGAACCCAGGCTCCCTTGTTCTAAAACTAGAGCTCCTACCTACCCAGTGGTTCTCAACCTTCCTAATGCCGCGACCCTTTAATACAGTTCCTCATGTTGTGGTGACCCCCAACCATAAAATTATTTTCGTTGCTACTTCATAACTGTAATTTTGCTACTGTTATGAATCGTAATGTAAATATCTGATATGCAGGATGGTCTTAGGCGACCCCTGTGAAAGGGTCGTTCGACCCCCAAAGGGGTTGTGACCCACAGATTGAGATCCGCCTAGTAACTAGGCCATCCCGCCTGACACTTTCATTTTTAACTTTCAGCAAGGGAAGACTGCCTTGGCGGTGGCCTCCCAGAGCAACCACAGCCTTGTTGTGGACATGCTCATAAAAGCAGGAAGATACTATGCCTGGAGAGAGGCAAGGAAGGACGATACATTAAAAATGCATTTTTTGTGGTGACATTTCCTTAGCCAAGGCATCACCTCTGTTGGCATCACCTCTGTTTTCTTTGGGGGTGGGGAAATAGCAATGGGTTGCGACAGAAGCAAGGGACACAACACTGTAACATCCCTCACATTTCCTGTGTCAGACAGACAGTACTCACATTCTGAGAACAGCACGGTAGTAATGAATCTGACAGTCTGAAAAGAAAACCCCATGATAGACCTAGAGAGCTCTCGCCTGCAGGGAGGTGTTGCAATGTCTGATGGACCTGCTGAGAACAGCTCCCTAGTAAGGGAGTAGTTGCAATAGTGCTCTCTTGTGGACATTCTGATAACAGCACCCTATTAAGGGATTCGTTGTTTTTTTTTGTCTCCATCTTGAATGACAAAAATGATCCAATGATAGATAACATTGAAAAGGTAGTCCTGGTTACCCCCTTACCAGTTATATCTGAAAATATTTACTCTGAAATAAGGCAATAAGCAGAAAATATCTAAAATCATTTGATACCATTACTTTCAATTTAGAAGCATGGTGAGAGCACCAGGGATGCACCAACCAACTTTCCTCTGACATTCAAGCAAGATCACAGCCAGGAGACCAGGCATATTGACAGTCTCCTCTGGAACCGGGCTTACCGTCAGCTGAAGGCCAACGAGTGGCAGAGGCTGGCCCGAGCATGGAACTTCACAGATGACCAGATCAGAGCCATCGAGGAGCAGTGGTCAGGTGAGCACCCCCAGGTGATGTGGGCAGAGGCATTCAGTGTTGGGAACAGCAGTCCTTCCTGGTGGCAGATCTTCCAGGTAAGTGCCAGGGACACAGACTCAGGGCTCTCTCAGAGGATGCCAAGACTCCAGCTGTCAGAACTAGTGAGGTCACGTCAGCTGGAGTCCTTAGCTTTGCTTTTTAATGATTTGGCCCAAACCTAGGAAAGATAGAAAGCTTGTTTGGCATTAATCAACCAATTAACTTTATAAACAAAGAAGCCAACACTTTCTTTGGGAAAACTTTCTACTTATAGCAATTCCCATATGTGAGTATCATGAGATGTGAACAAGCCCCATGCTATCGTTGACTTGCACCGCTGATTGCTGGGGACTGTAGACACAGAAGCACATCCCCTGACCCCGTGCTACTTGTACCACAAGTGATGGTGCTTTTTATGGCTAATTCTAGGACACATTTTCATGTGAAAAAAAGGGAAAATATTGGATATTGACTGTAGTTTCTGAAAAGAATTCTTTGTTATTTCTCCTTTGCTGCTAATTAGACATATATGTTCTGTGAAGTCTTTAGGAAAGTTGTCTTCTGGAAAGCGCTCTTGGCCTAAAGAAATGGTTTGGAAATATAGTGTGCCCTCTGAGTACTTGCCATCAGAGTAGGGGGCGTTTAAAATGTTTCAGGCCAACACTGCAGAGGTGCCTACACAGGGCCTACATCTGCCAGGTGAGGGTCCATTGGCTCAGTAAGCCATGGCACATGTTTGATGCAGTTTGTACCCTCGTTGGCATGATAACAGTAATATTCACAATCCACTTATATTGTGATTCCGGTAGTGGCACCAGGGAGTTGGTGGACTTTTGAACAGAGGCATGGCATGTTAATGATGGTATTTAAGGAAAATTAGTTGGGCAAGGGCAAGATCAGAGGGTTCACCTAGGAGTATGTTCTTTATGTGCACAGTTCGCTCTCCCTGAAACGCCGGTCCCTCCAACAGTCTGTCCCATGAACTTCCTCCCCGAGCTCAGACCCAGCTCCTGGGCACACACTCCACTGAGCCAGAAGCCTGTCCTGTGTTTGTGACTGTGACCTCCTACTGGAATGGTAGTGGCTTCTCATCTCCACATCCCAGCACGTCTCCCACACTTCTCAGGGGTTAGGTATCCAGGGAGTACTAGTATTTGCCCAGCACTCACTGGTCCAGAGAGGGGAGGGAATGCAGACTTCCACCAGGAACTGGAGTGGCAGGTTGCTACCTGCTGCTGCTCAGAGTGTGGGTAACGGGCAGCAGCAGCAGCAGCAGCAGCAGCAGCAGCAGTAGGTTGCTACCTGCTGCTGCTCAGAGTGTGGGTAATGGGCAGCAGCAGCAGCAGCAGCAGCACCTGAGAGCTTATTAGACACGCAGGTCGTCACCCCAGACCGACTGAGTCAGAACGTGCATTTTAACAAGATCCCCAGGTGGTATAGGCACTTTAAGTTTGAGTTTAAAAAGCTCCACGTCTCATTAAGATTGTCCCTTCCCACAGGGCAGGGATGCGGCTGTGAAATCTTGAGTCCGCTCCTCTGGGCTATGTCTAGCACAGTGGGTGCATGGCCAGTGCTGGAGTGAGTCCCCACGCTGGTCGCCCTAAAGCAGCACCAGTGGGAGCAGCTGGAAGGGCTTTCCTCCCCTGTGGCTTTGATCTAACCATCACCAGAAGAGCAGCCGCAGAGGAGTTACAGTTAGACTTGAGATCCCAGGCACAGAGCGACAGCAGCAGCAGGTGGTGTTTTGCCTCTGACCTTGTGTGTGTGGCACAGGACAGGACAGCTTCCGTGAACACGGCCACAGGGCTCTGCTCATCTGGCTGCATGGGGCCCTGATGATGCAGGCCGCGCCGGTCAGGCACCCGTACGAAGAGCTGGTCCGCGCAGGTTTCCAAGAACTAGCTGGTGAGTGACAGTTTTCAATAGACTGACACTCCTGGTCCCTTGAAATGTTAGGGGACCATTGGCAGAGACACTGCCCTGAACAGCAACGGTCCCAGCTTGGGATTCACTGGGGC